AAAAATCCTTTAAAATGACACCAAACTCGATGAGGTTATGTTCAAAAACAAAGAAGTTATGACACTTTTTCTTTTGACAGAAACAAAAAACAATTGACGATCGTTTTCTTTAAACCCTCGTAACTCTTTTATTTATTAAGATAATGAGATAGTGTTTGGACTTAAATGAAGCGAAATTTTATGTAGATTTTGTTTTTTCAAGAATAAATTTTTTTTTATATTATCAGGGAATTGTCAAAAATGAAATGTCAAAAAATGCGATTTTATTTCAAATCGAATAAATTACGGCGAATGTTTACTGGATTATAATGAAGTTCGCTTTTTAGAAGTAATTGGGTTTCTTGATAAGGATAAAAACCAAAATGAGACTTTAAAGATTATACTTTAATTTTAATTTTATGACCGTTCGAAAGAAAATGGAAAATCCTTTAAAATGATACCAAACTCGTTGAGGTTATCTTCAAAAACAAAAAAGTTATGACACTTTTTCTTATGACAGAAAAAAAAACAATTGACGATCGTTTTCTTTAAACCCCCATAACTTCTTTATTTATTAAGATAATGAGATGGTGTTTGGACTTAAATTAAGCGAAATTTTATATAAATTTCGTTTTTTTAATAATAAATTTATTTTTATTAATATCAGAGAACTGTCAAAAATGAAATGTCAAAAAATGCGATTTTATTTCAAATCAAATAAATCACGGCGAATCTTTGCTGGATTATAATGAAGTTCGCTTTTTAGAATTAAATTGCTTTCTTAATAAGAATAAAAACCAAAATGAGACTTTAAAGATTATACTTTAATTTTAATTTTATGACCATTCGAAAGAAAATGGAATATCCTTTAAAATGATACCAAACTCTATGAGGTTATCTTTAAAAACAAAGAAGTTATGACACTTTTTCTTTTGACAGAATCAAAAAACAATTGACGATCGTTTTTTTTTAAACCCCCGTAACTTTTTCATTTATTAAGATAATGAGATGGTGTTTGGACTTAAATTAAGCGAAATTTGATGTAGATTTTGTTTTTTTAAGAATAAATTTATTTTTTTTAATATTATCAGAGAACTGTCAAAAATGAAATGTCAAAAAATTCGATTTTATTTCAAATGGAATAAATCACGGCGAATCTTTGCTGGATTATAATAAAGTGCGCTTTTTAGAATTAAATTGGTTTCTTAATAAAAATAAAAATCAAAATGAGACTTTAAAGATTATACTTTAATTTTAATTTTATGATCTTTCGAAAGAAAATGGAAAATCCTTTAAAATGATACCAAACTCGATAAGGTTATCTTCAAAAACAAAGAAGTTATGCCACTTTTTCTTATGACAGAAACAAAAAACAATTGACGATCGTTTTCTTTAAACCCTCGTAACTTTTTTATTTATTAAGATAATGAGATGATGTTTGGACTTAAATGAAGCGAAATTTTATGTATATTTTGTTTTTTCAATAATAAATTTATTTTTTTTTAATATTATCAGAGAACTGTCAAAAATGAAATGTCAAAAAATTTGATTTTATTTCAAATCGAATAAATCACGGCGAATCTTTACTGGATTATAATGAAGTTCGCTTTTTAGAATTAATTGGGTTTCTTAATAATAATAAAAACCAAAATGAGACTTTAAAGATTATACTTTAATTTTAATTTTATGACCATTCGAAAGAAAATGGAAAATCCTTTAAAATGATACCAAACTCAATGAAGTTATCTTCAAAAACAAAGAAGTTATGACACTTTTTCTTTTGACAGAAACAAAAAACAATTGACGATCGTTTTCTTTAAACTCGCATAACTCCCTTATTTATTAAGATAATGAGATGGTGTTTGGACTTAAATGAAGCGAAATTTTATGTAGATTTCGATTTTTTTAATAATAAATTTATTTTTTTTAATGTTATTGAAGAACTGTCAAAAATGAAACGTCAACAAATTTGATTTAATTTTAAATAGATTTATTGAAGTAGATTTTTAATCAAGATCAATTTTTAAAATAAAAAGGAATTCTAATTTCGAATAAAAATCAAATTGTCATTTTAAAGTTGAAAATGCAACTTTAATCTTATGACCATTCGAAAGAAAATGGAAAATCCTTTAAAATGATACCATACTCGATGAGGTTATCGTCAAAAACAAAGAAGTTATGACACTTTTTCTTTTGACAGAAACAAAAAACAATTGACGATCGTTTTCTTTAAACACCCATAACTCCCTTGTTTATTAAGATAATGAGGTGGTGTTTGGACTTAAATGAAGCGAAATTTTATATAGATTTTGTTTTTTCAATAATAAATTTTTTTTTTAATATCAACTGTCAAAAATGAAATGTCAACAAATTTGACTTAATATTAAATAGATTTATTTAAGTAGCTAATCAAGATCAATTTTTAAAATAAAAAGGGATTCTAATTTCGAATAAAAATCAAATTGCAATTTTAAAGTTGAAAATGTAACTTTAATTTTATGACCATTCGAAAGAAAATGGAAAATCCTTTAATATGATATCAAACTCGATGAGGTTATCTTCTAAGACAAAGAAGTTAGGACACTTTTTCTTATGACAGAATCAAAAAACAATTGACGATCGTTTTTTTTAAACCCCCGTAACTTTTTCATTTATTAAGATAATGAGATGGTGTTTGGACTTAAATGAAGCGAAATTTGATGTAGATTTTGTTTTTTCAAGAATAAATTTATTTTTTTTTAATATTATCAGAGAACTGTCAAAAATGAAATGTCAAAAAATTCGATTTTATTTCAAATCGAATAAATCATGGTGAATCTTTACTGGATTATAATGAAGTTCGCTTTTTAGAATTAATTGGGTTTCTTAATAAGAATAAAATCCTAAATGAGACTTTAAAGATTATACTTTAATTTTAATTTTATTACCATTCGAAAGAAAATGAAAAATCCTTTAAAATGACACCAAACTCGATTAGGTTATGTTCAAAAACAAAGAAGTTATGACACTTTTACTTTTGACAGAAACAAAAAACAATTGACGATCGACTTCTTTAAACCCTCGTAACTCTTTTATTTATTAAGATAATGAGATGGTGTTTGGACTTAAATGAAGCGAAATTTTATGTAGATTTCGTTTTTGTGATAATAAATTTTTTTTTTTTAATATTATCGAAGAACTGTCAAAAATGAAATGTCAACAAATTTGATTTAACTTTAAGTAGATTTATTTAAGTAGATTTTTCATCAAGGTCAATTTTTAAAATAAAAAGGGATTCTAATTTCGAATAAAAATCAAATTGCGATTTTAAAGTTGTAACTGCAACTTTAATTTTATGATCATTCGAAAGAAAATGGAAAATCCTTTAAAATGATATCAAACTCGATGAGGTTATCTTCAAAAAAAAAAAAATTATGACACTTTTTCTTTTGACAGAAACAAAAAACAATTGACGATCGTTTTCTTTAAACCCCCATAACTCCCTTATTTATTAAGATAATGAGGTGGTGTTTGGACTTAAATTAAGCGAAATTTTATTTTTTTTTTCGTCGACCGTGTATTTATATGATTTATAAATGTATACAAAATCATTCATCAATGACACCTATTAATAAACGATTTTAAGAAAGTCCGACCGAACTAATATAGTAGTCAATTTTTCTCCAATCAAATCGGTAATACGGACCCAACCGACCACTATATCTATTCGGTAAGACTACAAAAATAAATTATGACACATTAAAAGTGAGGTTATGCCAGTGACAGAATTGGGAGATTTTTCAACGATGGATTTTCTCTATTTTGTTGAAAAGACGGTCAACGGAAAAATATTGTAACTAACTCGTATATTAAAATGCGATTAATTATCTCAATAATTAACGCGTGAGCGAGCGAAGCAAAATTATCGAAGCGGAAAATTAGAAAAGCGTTAAAATATCTCGATAATTAATCGCCTTCATTAATAGACTTGTTGGTTAAATAACTATTAACATGAGCTGANACAGAATCAAAAAACAATTGACGATCGTTTTTTTTTTAAACCCCCGTAACTTTTTCATTTATTAAGATAATGAGATGGTGTTTGGACTTAAATTAAGCGAAATTTTATGTAGATTTCTATTTTTTATTAATAAATTTTTTTTTTTAAATATTGAAGAACTCAAAACTGAAATGTCAACAAATTTGATTTTATTTTAAATAGATTTATTTAAGTAGATTTTTAATCAAGATCAAGTTTTAAAATAAAAATGGATTTTAATTTCGAATAAAAATCAAATTGCGATTTTAAAGTTGAAAATGCAACTTTAATTTTATGACCATTCGAAAGAAAATGAAAAATCCTTTAAAATGATACCAAACTCGATGAGGTTATCTTGAAAAACAAAGAAGTTATGACACTTTTTCTTTTGACAGAAACAAAAAACAATTGACGATCGTTTTTTTTAAACCCCCATAACTCCCTTATTTATTAAGATAATGAGGTAGTGTTTGGACTTAAATTAAGCGAAATTTTATTTTTTTTTCCGTCGACCGCGTATTTATATGATTTATAAATGTATACAAAATCATTCATTAATGACACGTATTAATAAACGATTTTCTATTAATAAACGATTTTAAGAAAGTCCGACCGAACTAATATAGTAGTCAATTTTTCTCCAATCAAATCGGTAATACCGACCCAACCGACTATATCTATTCGGTAAGACTACAAAAATAAATTATGACACATTAAAAGTGAGGTTATTTTGCCAGTGACAGAATTGGGAGATTTTTCAATGATGGATTTTCTCTAGTTTGTTGAAAAGACGGTCAACGGAAAAATATTGTAACTAACTCGTATATTAAAATTCGATTAATTATCTGAATAATTAACGCGTGAGCGAGCGAAGCAAAATTATCGAAGCGGAAAATTAGAAAAGCGTTAAAATATCTCGATAATAATCGCCTTCATTAATAGACTTGTTGGTTAAATAACTATTAACATTATCTGATGATGCTTAATTTTATTTCATTTTTAGAATTGAAGAATTAAAAAAAACTCCGAAAATAGACGAAGAAACGCCAACGAATTCTATTCCGAATGAAATTTTAATATTTTGCAGCACACTTGATGAAGATTTTTCCACAATAACTCCTTTAGTACCTTTAATGGCATCAAATAGCCCCACGAATGTTTTCGCATTCCCCGGAATCGAAGGATCAAGCTCCATTTTTAAACCATTTTTATCAAAAAATCCAAAAATTAACCTCTTTTCGTTCCAATACTGCCTCGATAACTTAAACACCATAGAATCGCTAACGAATAATTTAATTGACGTTTATGAAGATACAAAAAGTGGTGATTTTAACATATTGGCATATTCTTTTGGAACTGTAATAGCGACCGAGTTTATGTACCGTTTAGAACAAAAAGGGAAAGTTGGGAAAGCTTTTTTCATCGATGGATCAATTCCGATTATGAAAAAATTAGTTAACGATGTTTTTCCGGTGCGTGATCAAACAACTTTAGAATCAAGCATCCTTTTTATGTTTTTGATCAAGTTTATGTCGTTTAAGGAAGCTTTAAAACACAAGGTAATAATGATTTTAATTAATTTTATTTATTAATAAAAAATGTATTCGCGATTTAAGGATCAAATCCATCAACTCGCAACGTTAAGCGATAAAGCAAAGTACCTCTTAAAACTGATTAATCGTGACGATCCAAACGATTGTTTACTTAAATTTTGGAAGTGCCAAGTTTCGAGGTTAAAATCGTTAGATGGGTATGTGCCGTTAAGTAATTTCAAATTAAAGTCGAAAATATTTTTGGCAAAACCAAGCCAGCCGAGTGTCGTTGATGTTAAAGATGATTACGAACTTTCGAATTTAAGCCTACATCCAGTCGAGGTGAAAGTCTTTGAGGGAAATCATAGCACTATCTTGGAAAATGATGCTTTAATTGAGGAGATTAATAAGTTTTTTTTGTAAAACGTGATTTGGTGAAATAAAATAAAGTTCTAAACTCAAATTTATGACAATCTGTCAACCTAAATGTCAATCCAAAACATTTTCCTTTTTTTTTTTCCTTTTAATTTTATGACCATTCGAAAGAAAATGAAAAATCCTTTAAAATGATACCAAACTCGATGAGGTTATCTTCAAAAACAAAGCACGTTATAATCACACATATTTGAATCACACGGTATAATTTTTTCATTAGCCGAATTTCGAACGATCGTTTATTTGAAAAGTACCGCCATCTATTAATCACACACCGAACTATCGACAAAATTGGGTTGGTTCGAAACTCGGCTAATGAAAAAATTATACCGGGTGGTCCATGCAAAAATTGAAAATACGATTTTTCGGGACGATAATTCTTAAAAACGACTTTTTATTTGGATCACCCGGTATAATTTTTTCGTTAGCCGAGTTTCGAACCATCGTTTATTTCAAATGCGGAGCCATCTATTAATCAGTTGTCGAACTACCAGTAAAATTTGATTGGTTCGAAACTATGCTAATGAAAAAATTATACCGGGTGTTTCAAATAAAAATTGAAAATACGATTTTTCGAAACAAAATTTTTCTTAAATCGATTTTTTATTTGAGACACCCGGTATAGTTTTTTCATTAGCCGAGTTTCGAACCATCATTATTTTGTAAAGTGGCGCCATCTATTAATCACAAACGGAACTATCGACGGAATTGGATTGGTTCGAAACTCGGATAACGAAAAAATTATACCGGGTGTTTCAAATAAAAATTGAAAATTCGTTTTTTCGTAACAAAATTTTTCATAAATCGAACTTTGATTTGAGACACCCGGTATAATTTTTTCTTTAGTCGAGTTTCGAACCATCGGAGTTTTAGAAGTGGCGCCATCTATTATTTGATCGCGGAACTGTTCGAAATTAACTTTGAAATAGGGTTGGTTTGAAACTTGGCTAAGGAAAATTATTATACCGGGCGATTCATACAAAAATTTAAGTTAAAATTTTAATTTTAATGGATTCGCTTGGTATTTTTTCTTATTTGACTTGGTTTGGAACTGGGGTAAGGAAAAATTCAAACCAGCAACTCTGAAAATCACATTTATATTATTTATTGTATAAAAATTAATAGTGATATTTATGGAAATATATCACAATACCGTTTGCAGTCCCAGTTTCCATTGATATCCATATAGCTGGGCACAATATTCTTGCTGGATTCTATCTTTGAATCCAAATGGATTCTCTTAATAAAGAAAATGTTATAAAAAAAGGCTTGGTTTGGAACTGGGATAAGGAAAAATTAAAACTAGTAACTGCAAAAACAATCTGTTCCCTTCCATCAACAGATACTTTGGCAGTTCCTCTGTCACTATCTCCCCATATCTTACATTATATCTTCCTTCTCGTATCTGTGACCATCTCTCCTGCATCTGTATGTCCCTGTCTCTATCCCTCAGTTCCTCTTTCCACTCTTCTATTGCCAATACCAGTTATCGAATATCCCACTCTCTTATAATATCTCCTTGCCCATATATTTAATCTCCTCTCCTTGATTTCCTTCTAGCACTCTCTCAGGATCCTGCAATGCGGTCTTCCTTCTATACTTCCTCGTATTTCACTGCTTTTTTTCCCAGCTTCCACCCTTATTAAATCCACCTTAACCTCTTGACTTACCATATACCCTGGAGTTGCCCTTTCCAACACCTTGTTAGCACATCTCCAGCATTCCTTGTTAATTGCGCTCCTTACCAAGTCCTTAAACATAACCATTCTTTTTCCCACATCCTTCCCAAAAGTTGTTCCCTCCAAAAGAAACTCTGTTCGTTCTTTACGCTTCTCTACTATCTCTTTTCCCTTGATGAACCCTGGACGTTTTTGTTGAGACCAATCGATTAGAGGATACTAATTTTCTTTTTACAAGTCTTGATAAGAACGTCCAGGTGGATGCCATTTATACCGACTTCAGCATTTATACCTCTTAAAGCTGGAACGCGTAGGAGTCGCGGGTGTCTTGTGGCTTGCGTTTTATTATTATATACACAACTCAAATAGTCATGTTGGGCATTCGTCTGACTATACTACATAAGAGATATAGCTAAATCTTTTCCTAACTCCAGATATCTCATGTATACCTTAAAATTTTTTCTCCATTTAGTAATAATTTCTAGGATTGCATTACCTTTCAAACACCTAACCTTAGCCTGCTTCAAGACATTCTGCCTTTCTAATTTCACACTTCCATACTTCGAAGATTACCACTCCAGTTAGACCACTCTCCAGTTCATCCTTGTAGTGATTATCTCTCTGTCATGTTAGACTTGAACATTCTTCTTGGTAGCCGGTGATTTACCATTCTCATGAACAATATTTCGTTCGTTCGTATTCGCCATTTCCCTCGCTCACATATTTGTCCGAATCTTCGTCCGATTATTCTAGAACAATAAAAAATTATACTTAAACTAATTTTCAACCTAAAATTATATTATTAACCAATTTCTTGCTTTAAAAATAACCAAAAAGGGAAAACAACATTGTCAAAATTGACGATTTATTTATTCTATTGTCAAAAGTGACGTTTTATACAAAAAATAAAAACATATCTAACTTCACTTCATTAAAATCATTTAGTGACTTTTAATTTATCAAGTTTTTAAACTCACTTCAATCGACATTTGACATTTCTAACCTAACTTTTTTCTGAGAAAGGTGATTTTTAAAATTAAATCTGCATATTTCAACTTGATTTAACGTTACTGATCATCCAAATTATGTAATATTATGTAATTATGTAATAATAATAATTAATATTTAATTTTTTTAAGTTTACGCGAAGAAGATGAAGATTTCTACTCAAATTGATTGTCTTACCCAAAAATTCCGCGATTATCCAAAAACACATCTATTTTAAACATTAATTTTGATCAAAGAATTTTCAAATCGAAGCAACGAATTACTAGATATTATCTTATTTCTTAATTTTGACGACTCCGATAATGTAGGGATTTTCAAATTAATATAATTAGGGCGCCATCTATGTATGAAAAAACCTACCAATAAGATAAAACCAAAATAAGCCAATTTTAACAATATTAATAACTTATTACCCATAAAAATGTCTGAAATAGATGTTTTTATAAGCAATTACACTCTAGTTGACCCAGAAATTTACCAATTATGGATTGACGGCCTCTCAGGTAAAAATAAACATAACCTAATTGTTTGTCATAACCTCAACTTTTCTTTCTTAATTTTTTAGCTGCAGAAGCTGTAAAAAGTTTAAATCAAGGCGGATTGGGTATCCAAACTGGCGCAACCTTAGAATTAATAGCCAGCGATGTTTTGGATCATTACCGAACGTACTCGTTGCTCGAAAAGTTATTGAGCAACCCGAATAAGTTACAAGAACAATTAGAGTTCCAAATCGAACCGCAAACAAGGAAATTATTAATCGAAAAGTATTACGAATTTGACGATTCCGTCGTGAGGGAATTGTTGGGGAAAAAATTGTCTTCAAAACATCGTAAAGATCTCGACGAGGTCTCTGAGAAGACTAAAGTTGCTTTAAAATCTTGTAGGAGGCAATTTGATAATGTTAAGCGCGTTTTTAAAGAGGTTGAGGAAAAATCCGGCTCGATTGTTCAAAATATAACCACAACCTTCTTTTTACCTGAAGAGTTGGCTAAAAAATACGCTTGCGTTGTATTTTTGGCTTGTTTAAGGTTTGAAACTTCAAAAAGAAGGTTGCAATATTTAACTTTTGGGGCGTTAAGGAAATGTACAGAGACGATTATGAATAATTGGACTTATACGGCTTCTTCAGGCGTTGATTTTTATGATATGGAAATGGATAAGGAATTTTTATCCGATTTACGAGAATTAAGAGTCTTATTGGAGAAAGAAAAGGAACATAAACAGTAAATAATTAATGGTTATAAGGATACAATTTAATTATTTTTTTTTAGTTTAGTTTGCCAAAATTTAAAACCTGTTTTGTTACAAAAATGTTTCAACGAATTGGACGGGAATTTCCGAACGTATTCGAGGGCTATTTTAACTTTAGCCACAGCTTTACATAGAACGAGGGAGTTGAGGAACTTATTTGTTGAGTTATCACAAATTTTAGATCTTTGGAAACAAGGAGGTTGGGCTTTTAAAGACTTGGAACTATTTTTGAACGCCTTTACAAAATGTGCGTTAGAAATCGATGTTCGAGAGGATATTTTTAAGAATACTTGGGAAAGATACATGAAGGTTATTGGACCTTGTTTATTAATTATGTTTGTATAGAAATAATAAATAATAATAATAAATATAGAGGGTTAATTTTTTTTATGTTGCAATCCTGAAAATCGCCATCTTGGCTTGTCATTAATTCGCATTAATTTGAGGTTAAGTCACACGTGATATTATATTTTCGAATTTATATCATTAACGATAGATAGATTATAGAATTTGAAAAGAAATGTCGTTACCGGATAAAGTTCTTTTACGAAAAATAAAAAAGCGCGAGAAAAATAAGTTAAAAGTTCTACAAAATAAAGAAGCTGAAAAACTACAAAAAAGTGAGGTTATGATCATGTTTTAAATTGGGATTTAAATTATTTTCTTTTAGATTCCATAAAAGACGAGGAAATAGACGATGATAATGATGAAAATGAATTAAAGGAACCACCTAAAAGTAAGTGATGTAATTTTACTTTGACAATTTTACATCTTGTATTTTTTTTAATGAAACGTTAAAAAAGTCACTTGGAAAAGCGACGTTAGATTTAATTGGATTAATTGGAAAAGAGAAGTTGGTAAAAACAAATAGATAAACAAAAATAACACATTTTTAAGCTAACACGGCCGTTTTCGAAGACATCGGCCGCCCCCAGGAACACGAAATGTACATTCTCACAAATGCGAGTTAAAATCCAATTCAATGTTTTAGCGCCCGCGATGGGCGGGGGCGGCCGATGTCTTCGAAAACGGCCGTGTTAGTTTAAAACTATGCTAGAAAATAATGTTGAGGATTTTTAATCACACTTTTCCAACACAACCTAACCTCACTTTTTCAAATGACATTTTTTTGACGTTTCTTTAAAAAGGTTTATTTAATTCACTCAGTTTTAGAAGAAATTTTCGTTGTTAAAGTCATTCATTTCACGTTATAAAAAAAAATCAAATAATAATTCGCGTTTCTCGTGGTTTTAAATCACGTTAAAATATTTGACATGATGAGAAGATAGTTACGAATGTACATTTTTCGACTTTTTCCGACAGATGGCGCTATCTCCTATGTATGCGTCTTTTTCAAGTGAAATTTTTGACATTTCATTAAAGAAAATTTGATTTATTTTTGTTAGCTAGAAATTTTAGCTACTTTTAACTTGAATTTAACTACTTTTACTACCACATAGTGGTTTAATTAACTCCAACAATAAACAGCAAGCTAGGAAAGAATGCGCGTTTCCTCAGAGGTTGAATTTAAAACATGTTTGAGAACTTTTTGGGCGTAGGATTCAACAAAATTAGACTAACGAGGAGTTAATAAGTTATTTTTAGTTAAAGACTTACCTTAATTTTTAAAACAACCCAAATATTTTTAAATGACATAAAAAAGTTAGGTTATGTTATCGATAAAATCGCTTTAAGTAAATAGCTTACATGTTCAAAAACGTATTTAGACGGGGTTTTCAGGTGAATCACACCTTGTTTTGGTAAAATTTTCAGTAATTCTTGTTTTAGTTTTATTTCTAACGCAAAACGAGTCCAATATTTTTTTTTAATGAAACGTCAAAAAATGTCCTTGAAAAAGACGCGTTGGAGGTAGCGCCATCTAGTGACATTTATAAAACATTAATTAATTTTTTTTATAACTTTTTATTGAATTTTCGTTATATTAACGCTTAATTAAATCGAAAATCATCGATTTTTTCAAATATAATAATAATTTTTATTAAATTTGTATGAATTATTTTAAATTTATTAATTAAATATTTTTAGTCACCCCCATCTTGTGGTTATTCCCCATATCAATCGTATTTTTGACGTTTAGAAAAATTTCGTACAAAAATTATTAATTTTTTAACATTATTAACATTTTTGAACATCCTAACCGTTTGCTTAAACCGGTTTTAGACATCACGAAACGATTTTTATCTCGGAATGAAATTTCGGACATAACCTAACTTTTTTATGACAATTTAAAAATATTTGTGCCAATTTATTTCACATAAAATTTAATTTAATCACTACTTGAATCATTTTAGATTATTAACGCGTTAAAGACGGACGGAATAACCTAAAATTTCTAGTTTTTGGAAGTCATTGAAAAAGTTAGGTTAGGTTGAGAAAAATGCACAACGCAATAACAACTAATTCGTTACAAAAATTGAATGTACTTACTCTGCTTTAAAAAGGGGATATTTTAATTTCATTTAATGCGACAATTGTTTAATATAATCGTGGATAATTGTTATAAAACTTTCTCTTGATGCCACAAGTGATTTTTTTTAAAGATGTCGGTGCGGAGTGATAAATCACCATGGTAACGGTAGGGTTGAAAACTTTTAAACAAAAAATTATTTTAATCACAACATTACACATTTCCGACGTTTCATTAAACAAAATTATTTAACTCACTCAATTTTAGAAATAAAAAGTTTTACGTTATAAAGAGAATTAAATATTAATTCGTGTTTATCGTGGTTCTAAATTAGGTTAAAATTTTTGACATGATGAGAAGTTAGTTACAAACTTTTATTTTAAGTTTTTTTTCGACAGATGGCGCTATCTCCTATGCGTCTTAAAGTGACATTTTTTGACGTTTCTTAAAACAAGTTTAAATAAACTTCTTTTGCGTTAGAAATAAAACTAAAACTAGAGATTTTGAGGTTATATTTATAACCCTAAAATTTCTAGTTTCAGTTTTATTTCTTATTCCATCGGCAGCAACGGTTGTGAAAATGTCACTTGAAAAAGTGAGGTTAGGTTGGGTTGAATGAATATTTCGTATCTTGTGAACTTACTTTTTGTGGCTATTTCAAGCGAGATCGCTTCTTATGGATCGCTAATATGAAAGAAAATCTTCGAGGACACACTGAGTGAGTAAAATAAATTTTTTTTTAATGAAACGTCAAAAAATGTCACTTGGAAAAGTGAGGTTGGGACGAACCTAAGATAGATAAACAAAAATAACACATTTTCTATCAATTTTAAACTAACACGGCCGTTTTCGAAGACATCGGCCGCCCCCGAAAGCACGAAATGTTCATTTGCACAAATGCGTGTAGAAATCAAACCTTGATTTCAATGTTTTAGGGGCCGCCAAGGCGCTGGGGGCGGCCGATGTCTTCGAAAACGGCCGTGTTAGTTAAAAATTGTGCTAGAAAATGAGAATGAGGTTTTCTAATCTCACTTTTCCAACACAACCTAACCTCACTTTTTCAAATGACTTTATTGACGTTTCATTAAAAAAATTTATTTAACTCACCCAGTTGTAGAAATAAAACTAAATAGAAATTTGCGTCGTAGAAGCTCGTAACGTTTTACGTTATAAAGAAAATCAAATAGTAATTAATTCGTATTTATCGTGGTTCTAAATTATGTTAAAATTTTTGACATGATGAGAAGTTAGATACAAACGTATATTTTAAGGCTTTTTCCGACAGATGGCGCTATCTCCGATGCGTCTTAAAGTGACATTTTTTGACGTTTCTTAGAAATTTATTTAACTCATTAGATTCCCATATTTGCTTTCCATTCAAAATTTTGACAATAAATACGTAAGTCAACTAAGTTGTTGTTAAAAAACTGTAATGTGCAGTCTCTTAATAATTTTTTTTTGTAGAAAAACGTAAAAAAAATAAAAAAAATGAATCAGATGAAGAAACTAACGATGATATTGAGGAAGATGAAGATAATATTGAAGATGATGATTCAAAACAGCGTAATATTCATCTTTTTACTTAAAACCCATCTATTATTCAACTTAATTTTAGTTCCAGGAACATCAACGGGTTTAGAAATTCTAAGCGAATGTACTTTCGATTCATTTAAAGATAAAGTTTGCGAGCAAACCTTAAAAGGAATTTCGGATATGGGATTCACGACTTTAACGGAAATTCAAGCTCGATCAATCCCGCATTTATTGGAAGGTCGCGATTTGGTGGGAGCTGCAAAAACGGGTTCTGGGAAAACCCTCGCTTTCTTAATCCCCGCCGTGGAATTAATTTACAAATTAAAATTTATGCCAAGAAACGGAACGGGGGTCATAATAATCTCCCCAACTCGCGAATTATCCATGCAAACGTTCGGGGTTTTAAAAGAATTAATGAAACACCATCACCACACGTACGGTTTGGTTATGGGGGGAGCAAGCCGACAAAGCGAAGCTCAAAAATTATCGAAAGGAATCAATATTTTAGTCGCAACACCGGGACGATTACTCGATCATATGCAAAACACGGGGGATTTTTTGTTTAAAAATTTGCAATGTTTGGTGATCGACGAGGCCGATCGTATTTTAGATATCGGTTTTGAGGAGGAAATGAAGCAAATTATTAATATGTTACCAAGTAATTTTGTTTCAATTTAATTAATAATCATTTTTAATGAATTCGATTTTAGAACGAAGACAAACCATGTTGTTTAGCGCGACGCAAACGAAAAAAATTGAGGCGCTAACTTCGTTGGCGTTAAAAAAAGAACCGATTTATATCGGGGTTGATGACGCGAAAGATAACGCAACCGTTTCTGGTTTAGAACAAGGGTACGTTGTTTGTCCATCCGAAAAGCGCCTCCTCGTTTTGTTTACTTTCTTAAAAAAGAATCGAAAAAAGAAAGTTATGGTGTTTTTTAGTTCCTGTATGTCGGTTAAATATCATCATGAGTTGTTTAATTATATCGATTTACCCGTTATGTGTATTCATGTAAGTACTAATTCGTTTTTTAATAATTGGTTTAAGAATTTAAGGTAAAAAAAACACTAAAAACTATCACTGCGTCTGATGTGAAGTTCGTTATGTCAAAAGTGACATTTCAAAGATATCTTAAAGATTAAAAACGATTAAATGACAGCTTAAAGACAAAATTAAAGACAAACATGACGTTTAAATGTCAAATTTCACGTTTTGGGTAATTTGATAACCGTTAAATTTTATTTAATTTATTTTCTAAATTTAAAATGACGTTTAAATATCAAATCATCATTGGCTACGTTCATTTATAATTTTCTTGCAGTTTAACATTCTGAATAACATTAATTGTTGTTACCAATTGACGTTTCAACTGTCAACTTTGATCATTTTATATCACAAGAAGATTTTAATTGCCAAAACGTCAATTGGTAGCAAAAATTGAGGTTGACATATAATTTAGAATGTCAAACTATAAGAAAATTATAAATGAACGTATCCAATGACGATTTGATATTTAAACGTCATTTTGAATTTAGAAAATAAATTAATTAAAATTTAACGTTTATCAAATTACCCAATACGTCAAATTTGACATTAAATATCATGTTTAAATTTGCAATTTTCTTACAGTTTGACATTCTAAATGACATCTCAACCGCAAAAACTGCAAAAATTGAGGTTAACATATCATTTAGAATGTCAAACTGTAAGAAAATTGTAAATTTGATTTTTAAGATGTCATTCAAATGTCACTTCTGACATTAAAAACTTCTTGCGATGCAAAATGATCAAATTTGACAGTTAGAACGTCAATTGGTCGCAGAAAATAACGTAAATATGTCATTTAGAATGTCAAATTGTCTTTAAGTTATCATTTAGATGTCACTTTTGACATTAAAATTAAATTTGACAGTTAAAACGTCAATTGGTAACAACAATTAATGTTATTCAGAATGTCAAACTAAGAAAATTATAAATGAACGTAGCCAATGATGATTTGATATTTAAATGTCATGTTGAACTCGGAAAATTAATTAAAACAACCTTCATCAAATTACCCAATACGTCAAATTTGACATTAAATATAATTTTATTAAAATTTATAATTTTCTTACCATTTGACATCCTAAATGACATTTCTACCTCATTTTTTGATATCAATTGACACATTCTAACTGTTAAATTTGATTATTTTGCATCACACGAAGATTTTTATATCAAAAGTGACATTTGAATGACATACATTAAATTTACAATTTGACATCTTAAATGACAGCTACGCGTCAAGTTGAATCGTTAAATGTCATTTTATCCGTGAAATTTGGTAATTTTTCTTAACGCAAAGCTTTTACTATCAATAGTGACGTTTAAATGACAGCCTAAAAGTATCAAATTTGATCATTTCGCATCACTCAAAGATTTTAATGTCAAAAGTGACGTTTGAATGACATCTTATGAATTAAATTTATAATTTTCTGAAAGTTTGACATCTATACGTCATTTTTGGACACCAATTGATATTCTTACTGTCAAAAATGATCAATTAAGATCATACGAAGATGTTAATGTCAAAAGTGACATTTGAGTACCAACTTAACGATTAAATTTACAATTTTCTTCGATGTTGACATCCTAAATGACACCTCTACCTTATTTTTTGATTCTAATTGACATTCTAACTGTCAAAAATGATCAATTAGGATCATACGAAGATTTTAATGTCAAAAGTGACATTTGAATGACATCTAATACATTAAATTTACAATTTGAAATCTTAAATGACAGCTACACGTCAAGTTGAGTCGTTAAATGTCATTTTATCCGTGAAATTTGGTAATTTTTCTTAACGCGAAGGTTTTAATATCAATAGTGACGTTTAAATGACAGCCTAAAAGTACCAAATTTGATCATTTCGCATCACACGAACATTTTAATGTCAAAAGTGACATTTGAATGACATTTTATAGATTAAATTCATAATTTTCTTAAAGTTTGACATCTATATCTCCTTTTTGGACACCAATTCATATTCTAACTGTCAAAAATGATCAATTAGGAGCACACGAGGATTTTAATGTCAAAGGTGACATTTGAGTACCAACTTAAAGATTAAATTTACAATTTTCTTAGATTTTGACATTCTAAATAACATCTCTATCTCATTTTTTGATACTGATTGACATTCTAACTGTCAAAAATGATCAATTAGGAGCACACGAGGATTTTAATGTCAAAAGTGACATTTGAGTACCAACTTAACGATTAAATTTACAATTTTCTTCGATTTTGACATTCTAAATGACATCTCTACCTCATTTTTTGATACTAATTGATATTCTAACTGTCAAAAATGATCAATTAGGATCATACGAAGATTTTAATGTCAAAAGTGACATTTGAATGACATCTAATACATTAAATTTACAATTTGACATCTTAAATGACAGCTACGCGTCAAGTTGAATCGTTAAATGTCATTTTATCGTTGAAATTTGGTAATTTTTCTTAACGCGAAGCTTTTATATCAATAGTGACGTTTAAATTGGAGCCTAAAAGTATCAAATTTGATCATTTCGCATCACACGAAGATTTTAATGTCAAAAATGACGTTTGAATGACATCTTATAAGTTAAATTTATAATTTTCTTAAAGTATGACATCTATACCTCATTTTTGGACACCAATTGATACTCTAACGTCAAAAGTGACGTTTGAGTAACGACTTAAAAATTAAATTTATAATTTTCTTACATTTTAACATCCTAAATGACATTTTTGACGTGTATAAACTTTCCACAAAGGACAACGTGACTCTCTAGACGCTTAAGACTAATTACTCTCTTGTTTTTCTTGCTGGCGTCATTTTTTAGAACGACGTCTCTGTAATACAGTTTCCTGTAATATTATAGTTCCCTACACGTTAATCTCTACGTCATTTTTTGATACCAATTGACATTTAAATGACATCTTAAATATTAAATTTACAATTTTCTTAGAATTTGTCTTGTTATTATTAATTGTGATGTCTTTTCGCATCACAATTAATTAATTTTTTGTTTTTTTTTAGGGTAAACAAAAACAAACAAAACGTACCACGACATTCTTCCAATTTTGTAACGCCGAATCCGGGATTTTGTTATGCACAGATGTCGCAGCGAGGGGCCTCGATATTCCAGCAGTTGATTGGATCGTCCAATTTGATCCTCCAGATGACCCAAGGGAGTACATTCATCGCGTTGGTAGGACGGCTAGAGGGGAAGGAAGCACAGGAAGGGCTTTATTGTTGTTGAGACCGGAAGAATTGGGATTTTTGCGATATTTAAAGCAAGCGAAAGTTCCGCTTAACGAATTCGAAACAAAATGGAATAAAATCGCCGATATTCAATTGCAATTAGAGAATTTAATCGGGAGAAATTACTTTTTGAATTCCTCAGCGAAAGAGGCGTTTAAATCGTATGTTCGTGCGTATGATTCGCATCATTTAAAAACGATTTTTGATATAACCACGTTGGATTTGGCGAAGGTGGGGAGTTCTTTCGGGTTTAAAACTCCCCCCGCGATCGATTTGCGTAAGTTTTTTGTGGGTAATTGATTTTGTTTAATTTTTTTATTTGTAGAGGTAACTGCAAAGAAAAAGGATCGTTTAAAACGCAAAGATGGACATGGTTATGGTTATTACAAGAATTATAATAACGTTGGGGGGGAAAAGGAAATGAATCGGGCCAAGATTTACCGGAAATCGAATTATGAGCAAGGAAAAAATAGGCAATTTTCAAGATGACTTTTTTTACAAATGAAATTTATTTACTTTTTAAATATATAGACATTTATATCTTAGAAAGTCTGTCTCTAATACAAAAAAAGCATCGCTCAAGTTATTTTATTATTGTATTTACAAATTCCTATTTATCCTTAATTCTAATTTTCGCGATAAAGATTTTTTTATTATTAGATCTGTATATTTTGCGGAAACGAAAAGGTGTCCATCTTTCCACGGGGAACGAAACTAATTCTTTGGTACGATTTTTCATTTAAAAAGAATGAGATAATTTTAAAAAAATTTTGCGAAAAAATGTAAAATTTTCGACTTGAAACAATATACAGAAAACGAAAATGTTAAAAAGGGGAACCCCCAACAAAAAATGCTATTTACACCGTCTCTTTTTGTTTTTAAAAAAATAACTATAAATACACAATGATTATTTACAGTTTGAATCGTTTCATTTTTTTTTTGTTATCTAATTTATGAAGAAAATTTTACACCACTACACTTCGCAACCAAACGAGATCATTTTTAATCAAAATAACCCCGATTTGAATCGAGTCCACAACACTACACATCGACGACCATAAAATAATTTAAAAAAAAAATTAAATTAATAATTAACCCACCTTTTATTACACAGTAAGTTTACGTCGCGTAGAAAAACTTCCCTAATTTAGTGATAATTACAAAAAAGAGACCATCCAAATCTCTTCACAAAAATGTTTTACGGCCTAGATCCTCGCGCTGCCTCCTCCAAAGCCCTCACTTTCAATTCCCGCTCTCTTTGTTGCCTATTAAAAAAAAATCTGTTTTCATTCACTTTTATCATCATTTGCGATAATGAATTTGTGATAGTCGTATTTTAAAGAAAAAATTTATCAAATTATGAATAAAATTTCGTAATCTAGATCAAAAATGCTTTAAAATGAGCCCAAACTCGATGGGGTTATCTTCAAAAACAACTAAGATACGATTGTTTTAAAAATATTTTGACAGGTGATTCTCAATTGTTTTAACTCATTTTTAGTTTGTAACTTTTTTGTTTTTTAAGATAACCCCATCGTGTTTGGACTTATTTTAAAGGATTTTTAATTCCCTACAACCCGGAAACAACTCCAACCCAAAATAACCATTTTTATAACCACTTCCGGTTTCTAAATCGAGAATTTTTTGAGATTAATATTTTTGTTCTATTAATTCTTTAATAATGGAAGATAACATAAATCAAAGAATTGACGAATTAAATTAATCATGAAAAAGTTATGTATAAAATTAATTAGGTTAAAACAAAAATTTATTAAATTATGAATAAAATTTCGTAATCTAGATCAAAAATGCTTTAAAATGAGCCCAAACTCGATGGGGTTATCTTCAAAAACAACTAAGATACGATTGTTTTAAAAATATTTTGACAGGTGATTCTCAATTGTTTTAACTCATTTTTAATTTGTAACTTTTTTGTTTTTTAAGGTAACCCCATCGTGTTTGGACTTATTTTAAAGGATTTTTAATTCCCTACAATCCTAAAACAGCAGAATTTAACATTTTGGGGTTACATTTCAAATTTCCACCGCCATTTTGGAAGATTGAATGACACTTCGAAATAAAAAATTAATTGAACTTATTTAAAAAATAATAATCGTAATGAAAAATCCTTTAATGAGTTCAAACACGCCAAAAATTACTCGATATAAAACCGGAAGTGAATGAAAAAATTGGTTATTTCGTGTTGATCTAGTTACCGGGTTATAGGGAATTTAAAATCCTTTCAAATGAGCCCAAACGCGATGGGGTTATCTTAAAAAACGAAAAAGTTACAAACTAAAAATGAGTTAAAACAATTGAGAATCATCTGTCAAATTATTTTTAAAACAGTCGTATCTTAGTTGTTTTTGAAGATAACCCCATCGAGTTTGGACTCATTTTAAAGGATTTTTCATTTTCTTTCGAATGGTCATAAAATTAAAGTTGCACTTTCAACTTTAAAATGACAGTTTGATTTTTAATCGAAATTAGAATCCCGTTTTATTTTAAAAATTGATCTTGATTAGAAATCTACTTAAATAAATCTATTTAAAATTAAATCAAATTTTTTGACATTTCATTTTTGACAGTTATTAAGTCAAAATTTTTTGTTTTTTAACATAACCATATCGTGTTTGGTATCATTTTAAAGGAGTTTTAATGTTCTTTTCGATAAAAATTGAATTTTAATCGTTAAAGTACGACTATCATTTACACATTGACTAATAACAAATTTCGTTTTTACCTTAAATATTCCTCATGGGCGACCAACGATGGATGAGGTGGAAATCGTTCGCGCTCCAGCAGCATTTGTCTCTGTAATTGTTCATGTGCCACAGCCTAATTAAAAAACAACATTGCATTTGGTATAAAACAATATACCAACACAATTAATTTACAACTTCTTACAACTCGAAATTATTTCTTAAATAAAAATCGAATGAATCGAATTACCTGATGTAATTGATCCGCGTATGGGCGTCCCAACAAATCAGGGTGATGCAACCCCAACGGACCATCTCGCCCCGGAATCAACCCCGGTCGTGGATACCCAGCCGCACCTGATGCTAAAAGGCCTTGAGGTATACGGGGAAGAGAGTCAAATGTAAACACTGTTTATTCGTTCGGTGCAATATGCGATTCTGACACAATTTGCAAAAGCCCAATTAAATTAAATGTGTTATAGCGATCAGCACAACAAAAACAACACCCCACACATCTCATGATTATTAATTATTAATGGAATTAAATGTGAGAACGGCACCCGACCAAACGATTTCATAGTGTGAAATTAACGCAAACACGTGATCCCTGTTTATTCGTCAAATTTTGGTATTAATAAGAGGATTCGTGTGAAAACTTTAAACACAAATTAATTTTGAACCAAACTTTGTTTTAATACCTGGAAGTGGAAAAGCTGCGGCCGCCGCGGCTGCTTCTTGTTGCGCTTGTTGTTGTTGGGGATGTAAATGGAGGTGCGTGTGGGCGTGGGTGTGCGCGTGAGTATGGGCGTGATACTCCGGTGAAATCCCAGCCATTTGTAATCGCACCTAAAAGAATTAAATCAAAATTAATTTCATTAAATAAAGAAAAATTAAAAAAAAATTTGAATATATTAGTCAACTTCATAAAAAATCCTTTAAAATGAGTCCAAACTCGACATATTTACGACAATATTGAAATTACGTCAAGAAAAACAAAATGGCGGGCTTTTTGCTGAATTCCTAACCTAACATTTTATTTTTTAACCTAAATAGGTCATGTTTGGTATCAAATTAAAAGGCTTTTGTTTCTTATTACGATTATTTCAACTTTTATCAAAAAATAATTAAATTCGATTTTGACATTTGACAGATTCTAACCTAACTTTTTCATTTTCTAATCTAAATAGGTCATATTTGGTATTAAATTAAAAGGTTTTTGATTCTTATTACGATCATTTCAACTTTTATCAAAAAATAATTAAATTCTATTTTGACATTTGACAGATTCTAACCTAACTTTTTTATTTTTTAACCTAACTAAGTCGTATTTGGTATCAAATTAAGAGCTTTTTGATTCTTATTACGATTATTTCAACATTTATAAAAAAATAATTAAATTCGATTTTGACATTTAACAGTTTTTAACTTTTTTCATTTTTGACCCATACAGATTGTGTTTGGCATCGTAAAGGAAATTATAAATCCTTTAAAATAAGTCTAAACTCAACCAACCTATTTATGTAAACATAAACTTTCGTCAAAAAAAAAAAAAAAAAAAAAAAATGGCGGATGTGATGATTCTAGTTGTAGGTCTTCTAGTTAGTTAGTGATAGTATTAGTGTAAAACTAGAACTAACACTTAATTTAGAACTAGAAAGTATTGGGTTTAGCCGTGCGTCTGAAATTTAATGTCATATTTTGACGTTTGACAGCTTTGTTGATTGTTAACCTAACAAATTTTCGTTTCTAACCTATTGCATCGCAAAAGGAAATTAAAAATCCTTTAAAATGAGTCCAAACTCGACCTATTTACGATAATATAAAAATTACGTCAAAATAAAACAAAATGGCGGATTTTTTGTTGATTCTTAACCTAACTTTTTTGATTTTTATCGGAAATTTGTTGTGTTCGGTATCAAATTGAAGGGATTTTAATAAAGATTAAGAATTTAATGGAAAAAATAAAAAAAAAATTTTATAAAAAAAAATTGTTATTAATTTTTTAATCTTTTAAAATCGTTTTTAACCAATTGCATCGTAAAGGAAATTAAAAATCCTTTAAAATGAGTCCAAACTCGACATATTTACGAAAATATTGAAATTACGTCAAGAAAAACAAAATGGCGGGTTTTTTGTTGAATTCTTAACCTAACATTTTATTTTTTAACCTAAATAGGTCATGTTTGGTATCAAATTAAAAGATTTTTGATTCTTATTACGATTATTTCAACATTTATCATAAAATAATTAAATTCATTTTTGACATTTGACAGATTTTAACCTAACATTTTCAGTTTTTAACCTTAATAGGTCATGTTTGGTATTAAATTAAAGCTTTCTTAATTCTCGTTAATATTATTTCAATATTTATCAATTAATTTGATTTTGACATTTGACAGTTTCTAACAACTCTTTCAGTCTTCAACCTAAATAGGTCGTATTTAGTATCAAATTAAAGCATATTTCTTGCTTATTAAGATTATAACATCTATCAAAAAATAATTAAATTCGATTTTGAAAATGGCGGATTTTTTTAAATTCTTAACCTAACTTTTTTGCTTTTTGTTGTAGGTGTAGTGTTCGTTCTAGTATTATGCCAAAAAGTCACTAAAGAGGTTATTGTTTGAGGTTAAGTCAATTTATCATTAATTTTTTTTGTATTTAAGGAAGAAAAGTAGTATAAAAACAATAAGTTAAAACCGTTACGTCATTAAGACAATTAATTTTTTATGTTGCAAGCCTGAAAGTCACTAAAGATGTCATTGTTTGAGGTTAAGTAAATATTTTTTTTTCTTTAATTTTTTACATTAAACGGAATTATTTTAAAGGAAGATATCAGTATTAAATGAAATTCTTTTATGAAAAATAAAAAAGGGCTAAAAAACAATAAGTTATAAACGAAAAAAAATGGAAAATTTCAAAAAAGTGGGGTTATGTTTACATTTTAATATCATTTTTAAATCATTTCTTTTAGATATCATAAAAAAATGGGAATTAATTAACCATGATTTTGGAAACTAACATTGAAAGAAAACCTTATGAAACATTTAAGTGAGTTTATCCATCTGAATAAACCATCTGTTTATCATATAATAACAATTAACACGAAGATTTATAAAAAAAATACCCGGATTTAAAACAAGTTAATCCTTTTATCCTTTTATTAGGAATTTGGTTATGAATATTTTGAAATAATTAAATAAAAAAATTTTGAAAACGTCAAAATTAAATCGGTATTATGACGTAACGCCATCTATTGCTGAGTAGATGTACTATATACTTATAGATTTTTTTCCTTCATAAATGAAGATTTATCAAAATCATGTTCTTAATTTGATAAAATTAGTGTTACAAAAGAAAAAGGTTATAAAAAAGTATATAAGGGATTGCAATCCCGACGTTTTTTACGACCCATTTCTTAAATTACCCCACTTTTAAGTAAATAGTGTTACATTATTGACTCAAATTATTATAACATGAAGTTTTAAATAGTTTCATTGAAGGATTAATAAAATTTGAATCAATAATGTAACGATTTAATATTAAAGATTAATTTTTGTTGTTTTCATTACTTTTACCATTGGATCAGTAGCTAAAGCTAAACGTTCGGCCGCTTCTAATTGGGCTGCGTGAGCTGGATGATGTGGATGCCCTGGCGGGGCTCCGGGGGGTCCCGGCGGACCTGGAGGAGGTATTCCAAGCCGTTCTAATCGTTCACGATCTAATTGCGATAACGGGGCGGATCCTCCAGCACCAGGATACAAGGCAAAGTGGTGAAGGGGCAAACCAGGACCTAAAATCCCCCAAAAAATTAATGATTCAAATTTATATAAACTTCCTAACCTGCTGGACCTGCTAACCCCGCGGCGTATCTTCTTTGTATCTCCAACCAATGTGGATCCATCGGATTCGGCGGTCCTCTAATCCCACTTTTCATAATTTCCTCCTTCAAACGATCGTTTAACTCCCTCTCTCGTAACTCCCGGATCTCGCGTTCTCGTTTTTCCCGCTCCAAATGTTCCAATTCCATCCGTTCCCGCGCCCCAGCCCCATAAAGACTCGATAATTGATATTGCATCATCGGGTCCATACAATGCGTGGGCGGAAGAAGCGATCGCGGCATATGTCCGGGACTAAATCCGGCGTGAGGTCTCGCGTATTCCGATAATTGCCGTAAAGCGGGGGTATCGGGAAATCCGGGACGTTGGAAACGATCGTACGGCGAACTCACCGATTCTAACGGCCCCCGAGACGGCGGTTTAACATCCGGTTTATCCGGAGTTGTTATTTTACGAGCTTGCGCTTGTTGGGCACGTTCGCGTTCTTCGCGTTCGCGCTCCGCTTGTTTGCGAAGGCGTTCTTCGCGTTTTCGAGCTAATTTCGAATCGGGTACCGGTTTAAAGGTGAGATCGGTGCGGGTGCAGGAATTGTAATCACCGCGATTCCAATGACGTAAGAATCTAAAAAATAATTAAAAAAATTAATGTAAAATCAGAAATTAAATCTATTTATGATTAGCTTCCACAATAGAGAAGATATAAAGAAAATATTTGCTGTTAGACAAATACTAAATGCCATGGTACATGTCGAAAATATTGTAAACATGTTATTATTGAATGCAAAAAACATAAAACTGAAAAACCAAAATGTGGTGACTGTTCAGAAGAACATCCAGTTAGATATAGAGGATGCGTTGAAAAGAAAAAAACCAACCCTGATGAATGATACAACGGATTGAGAAAGCTTTAGATTGGAACTTGAAGGAAAAATGCGGTTGAACAAAGAAGCCGCCTAGAAACATTCGGGTTTAGCTGCACGTCTCTCAGTATGGCTAAACCCGAATGATTCTAGTTCTAGGTCTTGTATTAGTTCTAGTTTTGCACTATCACTTGAACTAACACAAGACCTAGAACTAAAAACATTCAGGTTAAAAGATTAGTTTTCTAAAACATTCACAAAAGAAAAAAAAGTGACGTTTAATGACATGTATCTGCTTTATCGGCTTTTGGATACGTTCTTAATTGAAGTAATTATTTTATCAATGTAAATTAATTTATTAATGATTCGATAAAATGTTTAATTAATTCGTTTATAATTATTCATTAAAAAATTAATTTAAATAAATTAAAAAAAAAAAACTAATTTAGCAACAAAAAAGAATTGACGTTTAATGAGAGGTTCCTGTTGGATACGTTCAATTAATAAATCACTGATATGTCAAAAAATGAAATCTAACTTCAAAATCATTAGGGTAACATAACCTTTAAAGTTATCATATCTAGTGATAGTGTAAAACTAGAACTAACACTAGACCTAGAAATAGAAAGTATCGGGTTTAGCCGTGACTATTTCTACTTCTAGGTCTAGTGTTAGTTCTAGTTTTAGTGCAATAAAAAGATGCAACACAGTGATATCTTATGCTAACTAGCACTGCCTACAACTATCACTAGAACTAACATTAGACCTAGAACTAAAAACATTCAGGTTGGGTTGGGTTGGGTTGGGTAGTCTTAAGCAGTCTTAAAAGACGCACGGCTAAACGCGAATGTTTCTGAAAGTGCGGAAAAGTATAGAACATACCGAAAAATCACATTAAAATTACGATGTGACGTCACAAGCAATCTCAACCATGCATTTTCCTATTAAACCGGTCAACACCTAACCAAAGCAACCACAGCCACGCACAAAATACAAAAAAGTGACGTTTAATGACATGTATCTGCTTTATCGACTTTTGGATACGTTCTTAATTGAAGTAATTATTTTATAAATGTAAATTAATTCATTTATATAAAATGTTTAATTAATTCATTAAAAAATTAATTTAAATAAATTACAAAAAAAAAATAACTAATTTGAAATAATTCAATAAAATGAGCAACAAAAAAGAATTGACGTTTAATGAGGTTCCTGTTGGATACGTTCAATTAATAAATCACTGTCACGTCATTTCAAAATTAATACCAACCTCAAAATTTCAAAAATATTAACTCATCAAAATTTATTATTATTAAATTAATGAAAAATTTCGTTTCGGATGATTCGCCACATCATAATTTAGTAATTAAAAACAAATTTGATTAAATTAATCAAAAAAATAAATAAATAAACGATAATTTAAAAAAATAATGCGAACATAACCTCCAAATACGTTTCTTTTAAATTTTATAAGTTTTAAAGAAAAAAATAAGACGGAAGTTATTTATAACGATTGTTTTAACTTTAAAACAAATGTCCCTTGATTGTTTATCCCGTGGTGATTGTGTACTCTTGAATATTAATGACGTTATGGTCAACTTCCGGTTAAGAATGTCAACGTCAATTTTGACAATTTGTAATCGTCGTGAAAAATCCTTTAAAATGAGTCCAAACATGATATGTTTTATTCTAATATTACTCGAGATATAAGCAACTTCCGGTTTGAAATGTCAATGTCATTTTGACATTGCAAAATGCAAAATGTGTTAAAATTTGTCACAAAAGCAAAAATATAATAAAAAAAATTAAAAATTAAGGTTGGTATTAATATTTAAAAATTAAATTGGTTGCTAACTTCAGGATTGATGTTTTTTAATTCTAACTTTTTTGTTTTTTGAGATAAGTGCGTCATGTTTGGACTCATTTTAAAGGTTTTTTAATGAAGATGACAAATATGTCAAAATTGACGTTGACATTTTAAACCGGAAGTGATAATATTAAAGTTAAATACGTCGAGTTTGGACTCATTTTAAAGGTTATTTTATGAAGATGACGAATATAATAATAAAATTAAGTGTAAAAAAAAAATTTATACTAACATCGCTGATTGACTCCTATGACACTCGCTATCTTCAATTCTCGGTTCAGGGGAAGGCCCTCTAGGTGGTCCAATCGGGCTAGCTTGGCTCTCTTCTTCCGGACTTGGGGCCGGATCAGGTTCGATTTTGATTTCTTCCGTTTTCGGCGCTTGCAATTGCATCGGAGAATTCGAAGGGGGGTGCATATTTTGCATATTCGCGGCAGCTTGCGCCGCGTGTTGTCGCAACGCTTCCAACGAGCTATTCGCCATCGCCGGGGGTCCTAAGGGCTGGTGGTGCCCCCCTCCCATACTAGGCGGTTGGATCATCAAATGATGCGGGTTCGTTTGCAGCGCTTGAGGGGGCGGCGGTTTCGAGTGATTCGGCAAACTCGGATGCATCGCGTGTCTCATTTGCAACATTGATCCCCCACCGGGCGACATTCTTTCGTGGTGATGAGTATGGTGGTGAGTGTGTTGGTGATTAGATAACGATGCGGTGTGATTAATGCTCGTTGTGGTCGAAGAGCCCGACATATTCGATCCGTGGGGGGAATTACTCCGAACGGTTTTTTGGTTAATTTTGTGTTGCAAAGATTGACTCGAACTAGAACTGGTTGAATGCGAAATCGTTATGCTGTGATTAGTCCCCCCAAAGCTTTGTTTTTCGGTGCTTGAATGCACCGCGCTGTGATGGGACGTACTATGATGTTGAGTTAGAGTCGTTTCGTGCATTTCTTTGCGCTCACCATGTTCGTCAGTTTCGCGAACCTCCCTTCGCGCTGTTAAACTACTCGTTGTGCTGTTACTATGGCTACTTATCATTGTTGTACTCGTCTCAATCGTTGGTTTATTAACCATAGCACTTATATTTGGGTCGGGACGACTCGCTGAGGGTTGATGTGGGGGGGGAATTGCGTGGGGTTGAGGAACCGCGTAAGGATACCCAAAAGGATACGCGTAACCCGGATACGCGTGTGGGAATGGATACAAAGAGTGCATTAAAGGGTGAGGGGGGTGCATCGGATTCGCGAAAGGATGGGGACCGGGTTGGGAGGTTGGGGGTAAAGGATTTGACCCATTCGGGCTGATTAAATTTATTGCTGAGTGAGAAACCGTGGGTTGGGGCGAATTTGTACTGCTTCCGCGTAAAGGGGGGGTTTGAGACACGTTGATGACGGGGGTGGGGGTTGAACTGGTTTTAGGCACGGCGGGGCTTTTAGCTTGAACGGGGCTCGCTGTGGTTACAGGTACTGGATATGGGTCGGGTTCTTTTTTGATATCAACCGGAGGGGGTCTCTCTGAGACGGTTTGCGCAACAACCGAGGGTAAAGAAAATCCAGGAACTTTAACGTCTTTTAAGCTTTGTAAGGGGTCGCTACTTCCGGGCATCATCCCTGATGAATTTTGAGGTTGATACATGCTTTGAGGCGGTTGCGATAAAAGCGAGTTATTATTGTTGTTGTTACTTTGTTGAGTTATCATTTGAGATGATTGATTATTGTACCCCATCGACGAATTATTATTATTATTATTATTATTGTTGTTCCCCCCGCCGTAATTAGTTAAATTATGCGGGGTATTCGGGATTTCGGCCACTTCTTGCTTTATTTTTAAATTTTGCGGCTCAATTTGATTCGGGATCATATTTTGGGAAGGAACCTTCTCTAAGTTACGCGGGGAATGGGGGTAAGGCATATAACCGTAATGATTTAACCCCGGTTGTCCGCCAATCGTCACTAAATTCGCTGATTGTAAAATATTCGGGAGAGGGGGTTGCCCAATTTGTAAATCGGTGCGTTCTGGACGATCCACCCTTTCAGGTCGTTCCAATTTTTCGGGTTTTTCTTCGTAAACTTCTCGTTGCATCGGAATAACCGTCGGGATATTTAATTGGGACCCCGTCATTGATTGGTTAAAAAGATCGGCGCGACTCGAGTTATTAGTTAATTCGATCGGTTCATCCCGCGGTTCCATTTTAACGATCGTTTCTTTGTTTTGGGACGAATTGTAACCTCCGTATTCTTCTTGAATATCTTTTATGCTAAAATTAATTTGTTGGGGCTCTTTTACCGCGGTGTAAATCTCGTCTTTATTTGTGTTTAAATTAATCGCTTCGTTACTCGATTCTATTTCTTCTTTGATTATCACTTTTTCCATTGGCGGAACTTTCGGGATTATTAATTCGGTTTTAAACTTTTCTGGGACATTAACGGATATATTTAAAGGTGTTCCACTTATTCCCCCACTCAAATTTTCTTTCAAATCATCCTCCTTCTCCGATTTTATTATTCCAACATCAACAGGGGGTGGTTTTATTTCCGGTTTGACATCGACGAATTTATTTTCTTTCAACTCTTTAATATCAACCAAACTATTTCTTTTATTATTAATCAAATTTTTTCTTTGTTCATCATCAGGAAGTCGAATCGAAACGTTTAATGGCTCGTTTGATGAAACGATTGTTGGAACTTTATTTGCAACATTATTTGCAACATTATGTGGAACGTTATTTGCAACATTATGTGTAACATTATGTGTTGTAATGACTGGAACTGTAGCTATTGGAGGGCCTGGAGGTGGTGGAAGTGGTTTTTCAATTTCCGGTTCAATTTTAATTGAAGGCACTGCGTCTTGTTCTTTATTTGCGACTTCCGTTACAGGGGTTAAGTTGGTAACGGGAGGAAGGCTATCGGTTGATTCGGTTTCGGGTTCGTTCGTGTCCTGTTCATCGTTTAACGACCCAGAATCGCTCGAGGGGCTCTCAGCGCCCTCTCGTTTCTTTTTAAATAGCGCTAAATCTTTTTCGTCGATTTCGTTATCGTCTAATTTATCTTGTGTTCGTTTCCGACTGCTTTTTGAGGGCGTTTCTGGCTTGTCGACTTTCCCTTTTTTCTTTGCGGGGGTACTCGAGCCGTTTGCCTTCTCCAGCGGGCTATTTCCGCTTCCGGTTACGGATTGTTTCGAGGGAGTTTTTGGTTCGGGCGTTTCCGTGCCGCGTTTCGGTCGCGTTCGGTTATTACTTTGTTCTTTAGCGGCTTTATTCCGGGTGCGCATGCGTTGTGGACTCGCGTCCGGACTTTCCTCTTTATCCTTTGAGTCTTTTGAGGAATCTTTCGTGTCTTTGATACCGTTTTGGGCCCCGTTCGCGTTTAACGGCGGTAACTCGTTGTTTTTTTTCAAATGAACCCGACAATCGTAACATAATAATTGGCGATCTTTTCCCGCTTGTTGCCAATCTCTTGAATCTTAAAAAAAAATTTAAAGAAACAATTTTTAAACCACAAATCCTTACTTGTCGTAAAACAATGTTGACACCTATATTGTGAATCTCGACTATCGCTATCGTCCTCAGAATTATCGTCCTCCGTAACCGAACTGGTCTCACCAGGCTCTTTTCCAGGCTGAGGAGATGGCCTGTTATTTTCAGCTTGCTCAACAGGCGCTCCACTACGACCTAACCAAAAACACAAAATAGTAAAATGCGAACCACAAAATAACCGCTCCTACCTGTGGTAGGCGGGGTGTTACCTCCTCTACTATTTCGTGTGTTACGAATGCGGCGTAACGAACCAGGTCTTCGTCTACGATGAGGTCGATTATTATTTGCACCCGGAGTCTTTTTCCATAAATAATAAAATTCCACTAATTCCGGCTAAAAACGACAAAAAATTAACCCATATAACATCAAAAAATCCATCTAATTACCGTCTCGCGATGCGGAAGTAAGTCTTTTTTAATGCGGAAGAAATTTTTCCCAAATTGACGCAATCCTTTGATGAATCTTTTCGTGTCTTCTTCGCTCCACTTTTTATCGATTCCTTTAGGAACGGGACATTTCACCAACACTTGTAACGCTCGTCCCGGATCGTATCCGCTATCGTGTAACTAAAACGCAAAAATTAAAATCTTAATACAAATCGTAAACGTCAAAATTTGAGGTTAACTTAAATGTCAACTTTATGAATTTAAATTTTATTTCTTAATCTTTTATATTAATCGATTTTAACGCAAAGAATTAATTTTTAAATTAAATCATTTAATTCTCAATAAAAACATTATTTTATTATTATAATTAATATTTAAAATTTTAAATTTTCCACCAAAACCAAAATTGCAAAACATGGCCGATTTTCAAGACTACCAACGTCAAAATAAATAAAATAACTAAAAAGATATTGAAGCGATTTTATCATAATTTTAATTAATTCACGGTTTTAATACCATTAATTCCC